GAAATCACATAAAATGCCAATTGAATGCATGACATATCTGGGACTCTTTAATAAACCTTTTTTTGTTGTTGTATTTGCTGTTTTTCAGGCCTCTCTGAAGTTGCATTTTAAATAACGAGGTTAAAGGAGGACTTTTTCTTCTCAATAAGACTCTTGAGTGCCATGAACCTCCCAACCAGAATCAGCTGACACATCGGGATCCTAGGCCAACTTGCGCAGTTGCTTTACAGTGGGGTTTCTGCCCCAGCCGAATATCAGGAATCTGAGGGTGGCAGCTATCTTTTTGTGAATGAAAACTGATTGGATGTCATATTGTTAGCAGCACATAAATAGGGAAAACTCCAGCTGTGAAAGGAATGCAAACTCTCTTAGTCAAAGGAAATGCCCTTGTTCAGAGCACCATAGCCAGTCTGAACAGGTGTAGGGCCTTGAGTGTAAACACTAATAAACGGTAAAAATAAACCAAGGTCATTCTGCTTTTAATCATTTAGCCTGGCCTCCTGTAGGCTTCTTTAGATCATATTAATTGTTTACTTCAGAGAGTTCATTGCAACCTTTTATCTCTTCCTAGCTGATAATTTTATCTGTTTTATATGTCTGTAAAGTGTTGTGATATAATTTATTTGACTGATTGTTCAAGCACTGAAAGACAGCCTATATTTTGATTTTCTTGAAATGTCAAATGTGAACTGTACAGAAATTGTATGGGTAGCCCTTTCTTGTATGCTTTTTACCATTTTTATGGAAAAAAGGATTTTGAAAGAAACGTAACACATTTTCTGTTCCAAAAAATATTTCGAATTAAATTTGTTTCATGTGAAACAGACTGTAGCACTTGAGAAGAATCCTCTGTTGCAGATGAAGACCCTAGTTTTCACCCTTTCACGGAGGTATGTAGTGCAATGGGTAGGGTACTGATCATCGGTTTAAATATTGTTAAAATTGAGAAAGCTTGAAAACAAATTTGCAGCGGAAGTGTCCATACTGTATGGTGAAAAAGAGGACACAACCAAAGTCAGCATCATTCTTGAGGACC